TATCTACTTTTTAAGATTAATGGTATTGATAGTTTCTAACTAATCTCTCCAGCCTGTCAGCCTCTCCCTCACACTGATTCTCTCCTGCTGTTGTTGCTGCCCAACTACAGCTACCACCACCTCCCAACTTCTCAAGCCACCAACCACAGAGCTCTCTGCAAACCTGGCCCTTCATCGGTGACCTCCTTCCGAGTAATTCGCAGCAAACTCTTTTGGTTTTTCACTACCAACAGTGGCAGAACAAAAATTAATCCCCCTATTCTCTTTACACCAATTCCACATTTTGTAGCCAATTTCTGGTATGTGGCTATTTGCCTCCATAATAGACTAGAGGGAAGTATTGAAAACACAAAAAACCCCAAACAACCCTTCCCTTCCCAAAAGTGCTAAAATGAATTTACAGCACTGAGTAGTTATATACAGGAAACAGCGCACAGTACAAAGGTTTCACTAGTACTAAGTGACCCCTTACTTTAGAAATTGCCTCAGAATTATGAGCTAATAGTAGCACAACACTGATAAAATCTTAAGAGATATATACACACATCCTTAAATACACATATATATTTGAATATTTATTTTTATACACACATACATGGAAAGAAAAAATTTAGACCAGAGTGGTACAACGTATGTTCAAACAAAAATATAAATAGAAAAGCTACATATTTCCATTTACCATAAAAATCCACTTTATCAAAACTATACCTACACACTGAGGACAGCAATAGCATTTCACTGAACCCCAGTGTTAACACAAGCAGCAAAGTGCCTCAATTTAAACAATGACACAAGATCTGTCACCTTCTCTGTGAACAAGACCTCTGTTCCTATCTCCAGAAGGTTAAGGAAAACTCAGATTATCAATATACTAAAATCTGATTATCAATATATTAATACCTGTCCTTCCTATCCTGCAAATGAAAAGGACTCAAGAGATGATGGACAAACGGTTTAGATGTCTATAGACACCAGTTTCTAGCTCACTGGTTTCCCAGTGAATCCCGTTCAGACTTTTTACCCCGAGCAAATACCCAACCCATGTACAGGGTGCCTTGTATGTAATTTTAACCAATTCCTGAATATACTTTCTACCACAGGGTCATGGTTTTTAAAATAATCAGTATGCGATCAGCCTTCTCCTCAGCCCAAACCCAAACCACAGCCTCTCACGGGCTACTATGAAGAAAATGAACTCTGTCCCAGCTGAAACCAGGACACACAGATAAGAAAAGATTTGCCTAACTGTAAGACATACACTATTTCACTTTTCCAAAGCCTGTCACATTTCTCTGGTATAACATCTCCTCAGAGAGGCAAAGAATTATTCTACACGCAGAAAGCGTATGAGTTAATTTGGAACTTTTCTCTTTCTTAAGAAAGAAAAACAAGGCCCTTTCGTAACAATCTGTATAATGTATGTATACAGCGATCGTGAAAATGGCTTGAAAAAGCCAACTCATTCTTCCTGCCTGACAGTCATGGGGAAAAAAGATGTATGAGAACTGAGATTCAACAGCAAAAAAAATATCTCTGTGCATGTGGCTAATATTGCTTTTGGGCTTTAATACTGATGCATGCTGATGCATTATTTTCCCAATAACCTGTTTGCTTTGTGCCAAATACATGCCTGAATTGTGTGCATTTATAAACTATAAGCCATTGCAATGGCTGGCTGGCCAACAGGTTTTATAGATACAAATACCAAATACCATGACATAAGCAAAGAATTTTGTACTAAAACGAGAAAGCTAGTGAACTAGCTGGAGATGTAATCTTAATTAAATTCTACTCTAAGACTGAGAGTAGAGCTGCAATTAAAGAAAAAAATCCTACATTCCAGTATCACTCAATTATACATAGGAAAAAAACCCAGGCATTTCAAGGGACACCATGGGAAAGTAGTAAACTAAGGAAGAAAGAAACGAACAGATGAGGCAAGCAGGGCAGTGACTTGATAGACTAATTTCATGTTGTGTTCAGTAGTCTACTCAAGTATTAAGTAGCCCTTGAGTTACAAAGATTTATCAGTAGCAAAACTAATATTCCACTAATATTCCTTTCCTACTTGACAACCAACTGGAAAAAACAGCTTGAAATTTTAAACCAGCCCTGAAACAGATGTAAAAATCTATCGCAAACATGCTGTATGGAAATAAGTGAAGAAGGCACAGCCGGACAAAAATATAGAAACTTTCTTCAAACGTTTTGTCAGTTAAAAAATTTGGAATACGATGAATCAACTTTTTTTTTTTTTTAAAACAGCACTACACGGGTTTGTTTTTTTTTTTTACTATAAAAGAAAGAATTAAAAAGTTTTCCCTATAGGCATGTTTATTGAAGCTCATCGATACCCAAAATAATTCCATCCAGTATCCTCAGCACTATACTATCTCAAAGCAGGTAAAATAAAATTTAAAGATTTAAAAGACTAGAGGTAAACTACAAAATTAATTCCAAACCAATCACTCTGTGTTCTGCTCAACACACTTTACTCATCTACATTTGCTCCTTATTTCCAAGTCAGCTTCAAACTTTTAGGAAAAAAACAAAGCAACCCTTTGCAGGTTTTTAATCATCGCCTTAACTTTGGAATTTTTAAAGCTTTTTTATTATATGTTGTACCTTTTTCCTTCTATGTACAAGCATCAGTTTCATTTCCCAGCAGAATATTTCAGCCTTTTCTTCATACTAGCAAAATAACTCAATGAAACAAACGAAAGGGTGAGGAAAGACAACCAATCACAAAGCTTGCTCACGTACAGCATCCTAAAGCACTCTTCTCATACATGGACAGCTTTGTGATTATGAGTTCCAAGACACAGAGAGGTTTGTCCAACCTTCCCTCCATTTTCATTTCCGTATGGCTAGGACTCTGTTCTGGAAGTAGCCACATAAACTTTACTCCTGTAAACCATGGAGAGCAGCAAGACCTATGGCTTTACAAAAAGGTGTTAGTCTGGCAATATTTGTTTCCTTCCAGACACGAAAAATTCATGTTTAGCTTCACTTTTGGAAAGGAGCTCTAACTTCGTTACAGTCTACATACAAAGTAGGAAACTCCTAGATGTTTTCAAAGCCAGTATATGAAAAGGAGTGTGAGGGGAAATTGCTGGTAACTACATTATATTTCTGTAGAATCCCCAAATTTAAGAGCAGTAAGCACTTCTGTGGGTAGCAAACACCCTCCAAACACATCCACCGTTATAATAATGTAGTAGAAACTATTCTCAGTTACTCAAGAGACTATCCTGTCAGCCTAGACAGAAGTTCCAAAATTCAGTATAAATGCTCTAAGATTCTTAACATCACTGCTGAATACTAACCTCCCTATATCACAAAACTCCTGTCATAATTCTGTTAAAGCTCCAGAACCTCCAAAGCCTCCTGGGCTAGTTATACGGAAGGGGACGGGATGACAGAGACTAACAGTTGTTAGGATTTTGAGATAACAGCAAGAACCTTACATCTGCAAATTTAATCCCACAAAGGACTCATACCAGGTATTTCTAACTGACACCAGTATCAACGTCTGGGCTCTCTGTTTAGGTCATGTAGAATGCAAAGAGATCCAGAAGATCTAAATTAGATGCCTAAAATTAGCTACCATGAACTTTTCCTCTCTAAGCTGGCAGCACATTGCTACTTTGGTTAAAATCTGAAAACTGAACGAACATAATTATTACATAGCTCACCCAAGAGATTAGCGAATTTGCAGCTTAGTCCATGTTTAGGACTAACACTAACTACAGCCAAGCGGCAGCAACTTCTCTCTCATTTCTCTAAGCTATGCAAAGACTTTTGTCAAAAGCCCACTCCT